CCTGCTCAAGACCGAGACAGCAGAAAGCGTATCCTGTTTGTTTTCTAAAAAAGCACAACGTATGCTGATATTGTGAGTGCACACAAATAAAAGTAGACCCTTAACAGTCCCGAATGATGTATTACTCTTACCTTTATGAGCAAAAATGACTGGTTGTTTCCACTGTTATATCATTTAAACTAACATTGTTTTTTTTTTAAAGCATTTTATATAGGCCTATTGATTTTATTTTAGTCAAGTGGTGATGATTTGAGAAGGCTAAATTGATCAAACATAGGCTATGATTAACTCACCGTCTGCCACTGGCTGCTTGGTCGTTACTTTAAAAAAAACAAAAACTTGAATTTAACAAAAAAACATTTTCCAAACATATGTCTAAATTAACGTAATAAAGAAACGAAAATATATAATATAAAAAGAACTATTTTAATGGCTACAACAGCAGCTGTGTAATTGGGGAAGAGAGAAAGAGAAAAAAGACACGGGCCAGTAATTCTGATAATCTGTCGGATAAGGGCTGGACTAGGGCATATGTTTGAGGCCCGTGCAGGGTTCTGCTGAGCTTATTTGGTAGCAAACTCAATTGGGTACTGGCAAGGTGGCTTTATATACGCACGAGCGCACTTTGGATGCGACTGCGCACCGCCTCTGGAGCGCGCGAGTACCGAATAGCTTAAAAAGACGTGCAAATAAATAATAACATTTTTTGACGATGCAACAATGACCCGATTAGGCAAGTGACTATTCTGTCAACTGTCCCGAAATGCGAGTGAAAGTCTTGTATCGCAGCGGCTCTTGTAGCGCAGACAAGATGCGCCGATGTGAAGCCATTTGAAGAGAAAGTCAAAGAGAGAAGACGCGTACAGCTGAATCACTCACGCTGTTTTCAAATGACTGATTTGATCAGTCTGTGTGGACTGGACTCAGTCTGTAGGTTTGATTATTTACTCATCAAACCTACATGCTATAGGCTATTGAATAAATGTGTGAATATCCATCATTTTAAAGTAAAAAGCTGCGGGAATGAGTAAAACTATGCGATATAGCTTATGCGCAATCCCGCACCGAAATTCAGACCTGATTAAACACAATTCTATTATACAGAGTTTTGTGAAATAGATTTCAATGACTTTTCCCAAACTTTCTGGGTTTATTTATTTTTCCAAAACTTTTCCAGGCCTGGAAATTGGTGTTTTAAAATTCCATGACTTTTCCAGGTTTTTCATGACCGTACGAACCCTGACCACATCACTTGCACAGCTCCCACAGGATTGTTATTTCTGTTGCATTTTTTCGAACTAAGGATAGATGCACAATATATATTAATACCATATTGGTTATCCGCTGATGTTAGAGTTTTTAAATATTTTATATTGGTCAGTGTTGGATATGTATTGGCTGGTATTGGATATTTAATTGTGCAAGACCATTTACCCAATTCTTACATTTAGATTACCAAATAGCTAATGAGTTAGGCACTTTGTTGTGCGAAATAGCACAACTTTATAGTACCTTATTGCTTAAATACACAACAAAACAAATGCAGCGTTTAAAAAGTTTCATCTAAACGGAACATTACAGGTTAAATTCAAGCTCTATCAACAGTATCTGTGGCATACTGTTGATTACCACAGAAAATAATGCTCAGTTTATGAAAAAAATAACACGTACACTACCACTCAGAAGTTTGGTGTTGGTCAGATTTTTAAATGTATTTGGAAGTTTGGTCTCTTATGCTCACCAGGCTGCATTTATTTGTATACAGTACAATACAGTACTGAGTACAAACTTGGGTACAAGTGATGTAATGAGGTAATATTGAACAATGATAGTGTCTACAGAGTAGTGTTGTCAAAAGACCCGGTACTTCGGTACCAAGTTGGTATTAAAAAAATGAAAATGTTACGGTACCAGGTTTTTTTTAAATACCGGTGGTACCGAGTACTCTGTAAACCCGGTTCTTGAGGCACCATCCGAAAGGTGTGCTGATGCGTTCTCTACATAAAAGCACCGACGTGGCGACCTCAAAATGAGGAAACACACAAAACACTTTAAAGACCGACACCCAGATCAAATGAAAGAGTTCAAGCAGGTAAGTTTCATTTCCATGCATTGATTTATTTGTGGCGCCCGCCACAATATCAAAACTGACCGCCATAAATAGATTTTCCAAATGGCTTTGACTTTGTTGAATAAACATGAGCGCTGTGCGTGTCAAAGTCGAAACCTGGTGCGGATGTTTTTATATCACTGTATTTCTGAAGGAAACCGACTGTCTTCAGAAAATTATGGATGTAATTTTCATTTCATCTTGCCTGATAAAGCAGCGTTTGTTAGCTCAGCCGTTACCGGGGAAACCTGATCTCTCCTGCTCTACAAGCGCCTCCTGCTGGCAGAGAATTAATTTGCATTTATATGCCGCCACAAATAGAGAGCAGATCTGTGGGAAACACTACTTCTGTTATGAATATTATTTAACATTTTATTTGAATGTCAGATTGAAATGAACATCACTGTTATTAGAGTAGTTAATCGTTAGCATAAGCGCAGCTAACGCTAATATAATGAGCATTAGAATTAAGTTTCTTTATTAACTATTTAATGCTCCTATAACTTTTATTAGGGTAAAAAAAAGGACATGATATTTACTATTTTTACACACCAGAAGCTTTTAAATGAATTGTGAATCTAAAATATGCGTGTTAGAGAATGTACAAATGGTTAACATTGTTTGTGTAATATCAGTCAGAAAAGCAGTTCTGGGTTTTGAAGAAAAAAAAATTTAAGCTAACTTAGTTGTTATTCTTGGCTGAATAACTCAGAAGGTTTTAAAGCCCTTTAAAATTAAATATGTAGGCTACACAGTTTGGATTAAATGAAAGTATAGTCAACATTTTTAATTAGCATGTTTTTGTGTTTTGCTTTGGTACCGAAATTGGTACAGAGAACCGTGGATTTTCACTGGTATTGGTACCGAATACTGAAATTTTGGTACCGTGAAAACACCAAATACACACTCAATACCAAAATGAGTGGCTAACTGCGCTAAAACATTCAAATGTATAAGAAATTGTCAAAATGCCCGTTTTGGCGAGTATCCAGTTAAACACAGTCAGTTTTGGAACGTTAAATAGTTGAGAAAGAGAAGGCATGTTGTGTAACAGTATATTGGGTCCATGGATAAACTCTTAAAGGGACCGCAGTCCAATATTTATGCTGCTGTCTGTTTGTATGTTAATCAAAGAACAAAAGACAAAGAAAATCATTTTCTGCTCTTGACTGAATACGTTTTATAACTTTAATGGTAAGCATTCATCTGTATTTAATTTTTACAATGAAGACTACAGAAATTAAAGTAATCAAATGTAAAATAACACTGGATGTGTTATTTTACATTTGATTACTTTAATTTCTGTAGTATTTCTTAACCTGAAAAACTTAGTTTCATAGCTCTCTTTATTCTATTCCATTTATTTGTGCTGTTGTTTGCCATTTTTTTTTTATTTGTTCTTATTTTATTACTGACTTTTTACTTGTGTTTTTTTATGAAAAAAAACTTTGCGTTGAAGAAAAGTAGATTTTTGTTTGTATGTGCTGTCAATTATAGTTCTTAGAAAGAAAATCGGAAACTGCAAAAATCGGTATCGGCAGATCAAACTAACAAAAAAACGGAAATCGGAATCAGCCAAGAAAATTGCAATCGGTGCATCTCTAAACGTCAGAGTTCTCGGACAGAGACAGTACTCTTATAACGCTGAGAGACGGACTGTGATGTAACAGATGGGCCTAAAACCGAAGCATTAGTACTGATGTTAGTAATGACGCAAGTAGAGCAGGGGTATGTTTTCAATACCTTTGCAATGGAACCTAGATATAAAAGCAATAAGCTATAAAGTAAAATGTACATGCTTTTTTAAAAAGGTTGTTTTTGAATAATATTTTATCATTATAGTTAGATTTTATATTGTGACTGTACTAAAACCAAAGCAGATTATCAAAATTATTTAAAAAATATTTACTTTGTATTGTTTTTAATGTTATGTTAAATGCAAACATTTTAAAAGAAATTATTTTCTTTTTTTTAATAGCATTTTCATAATACATTTCCAAAGCAGTTTTACAGAAAATATCACCTAACAACATCAGTGAGCAAGTTAAATGCAATAAATGTATCTCTTCCCTATTTAACTATGTAAGCAAGTATGTATGCTGCTAGGAAGGAAAAATTAAAACATGCAAATAAATAATAATTAATAATAAAATAAATAATTATTCACAAAACTCCATGAAGATTTGATTTTGAGTTGTAAAGAAAATGAAATAATCCTGATTAATCTAATAGTTTCTGACCAGTAAAAAACAAAACAAAGACTGAAATAGTAGTTACCATGTAAGTTTCTTTTAATTTTTTAAAAATACTTTAACCTAACCCTGATATTTTCCACACACTCTCTACTAGAATCATAAAAATCCTTGCTTATTTTAGTTTTTTTCCTTAGTTTTATTTATTTTAATTTTTTTAGATAGAACATGCATTACATGATTTGTGTGTGAGCAAGTTTTGGGAAAGTTTTAGGGAGTCTGGGGAGATTTTACTCTTCAGACAACCAGCCTCCCTTGCAATGATTTCCACTTTTATCTCTAGGACATGGATAAGCACCAGGCATTCAGATAATACAGAAGCTAGAGGGCAGATGTCTCAGACATCTCAGAAACAAAACAGAGTAACACAGAAAATGACAACATTATCAGTTTCTCATCTGTACATGCAAACATATAGACAGTCACAACAGTCCAGTATATACGTACACAAAACTGTTATGTCTCAAGATATCACTACTGTTCATCATAATGCAATTTTTACATGTTATGCTGAGAAGCAGTAGCTATAGTGGAGCTCTGGGAAAAAACAACTCTGAGATTTAACCACAGATACGACACTGGTTTCAGATGCAATACAAACTCAATTGTCTTTAAGATGGCAAGAAAGTGACAAATACCTTTGAACAGCTCCCAAGTGCTCTGCTATGCAGTGGAGCAGATATGGATGATTTGAGATGATCTGCCATATCTAACGTACATGAACTCTTGAGAGGAACTCCAAAGACATTTTATGAAAAAGATAAGCAAAAAAAAAAAAATAAATTCTTAATTTGCTTAAGTAAACAACATACCAAATAAATCCATGCATACTGTTGTACAAGCTCTGATGCATCTGTACAGAGCTAGTCTGATTTCACAATCAACAATACCTCTAAAGCATGAAATAGCATGAGAATAATATTTTCTCTTCTGCTGCCATTTTTAGATAATGAAAGATGATACAGGAAATTATCATAGAAGAGGAATCGTGTAATAATACAAGCCAGACATGAACTCAGGTGAATGCATTAGCATCACTGGTCAACGTGTCAGACCATGTGGCCACCTGCTAGAGCCACAGAAAATAATCATTTAGGTACACTTTTGGTATTCTGGAGAGAATTTGTGAGAAATACACACACACAATCACTCTTAAAAAATAAAAGTTCTTTACTGGCATCAATGGCGCCGAATGGTTTAACATACATAGTTCCACAAAGGTTCTTTAGAGTGGAAAAAGGTTCTTCAAATTATTAAAATGTTCTTTGTACTAAGAAAAAAAAAAAAGGGTTATTTTAAGAACCTAAAATGGATCTTCTAAGGCATCACTGCAAAAAAAACTTTTGGAAACTTTATTTTTAAGAGGGATGTTGAGGTGATGTTTGGCAGTTACTATGTAGTAACTGAGGTGCGTTTCCAGCTTGCTTGCTATAGGATGTTCTGGGTGTTTGTTTACTGGCTCCAAGTCAAAGGTCTCCAAGTCTTAATTTGTACGAGATGAAATCATAAAAAATTGTATGACCCAAATCTAAACCTGACCGTAACGTCCAACCCCTTACCCAAACCCAATTGACCAATATGAATTGTCATGAGTGTGCTGGATGTTCTGGTCTTATATGGGTTGTTAAACCCTAAGTATACTTCAGTTTTGATGTGCTCGACACATTAGCACTAGAGAGTTTCATCATTAGGTGCGTTTACATGGAGCATTGTATTCCGATTACAATCGGTTTTAAAGTCCAATCCGAATGGAAATGCGCCATGCAAACACCTCAATAGGAATAAAAATTGTATTTGCATGCCTATTAAAAATGAAAACCGAAACTGGAAAGTTTTGCGCATGACATGCGCAATGAGTAGAAATGGCATAATGACATATGACGTACGGAACGAGCCGATGTTGTTGGGTTTGTTGAATATAATGATTTCGTTCCGAATGAAACAAAAAGTGTCCATGTAAACGTGGCTATTGTCTAGTCTTTGTACCTTTAAGGGAAATTCTTAATTCTCACAGAAACATTCATCAATGCGGATGTCTATTGTTGTTGCAGTCTCTAGTAGTTTGCTGCGGTTTTTGTCCTGTCTCATCAATTTATTTTCCGACTGTGAAACAATGACAGTCCACAAATCAGCGGTGCAGCAGTGCCACCTAGTGCACAAACTGTGGTGCAAAAAAAAATGTAAGCACTTCCACAAGCTGAGTGTATTGAGCATACGTGCATTTACTATGCTGATAACGAAACGTACACATACTCTAGCATATATGTAAAAACCAAAGTACAGTTTGGGTTTAAGTCTATTATTCCTTTGTCCACTAGGCAAAGAAGAATCGTCTGATTACTTAGCTACATAACGCCACACCTCTCCTCAACAAGCTGCACAATTTGTGGTAACATTCATGTTCATAGTTACGTACTGGTGTTTAATAAAGGGTTAGGGGTTTATTCAAATCTCTAATCTTCTTAAGTATAAGCAACACAAATAGTGATACTTGACTTAGTACTAGGGTTGGGTACCGAAACCCTGTGCCAATATGGCACCGGTACCTATGTAACCGGTATGTACTAGAATCGAATCAGAACGCAGATTTTGGTGCCTCATTTCGGTGCCACTTAAATGCTTGAGCAATCGAAACGGACGTAAGGATCACCGGCACCGCACGTGAAAATTAAATTATAATAATTAATTCTTAAATTAAAATGCCTAAAGCTAGGGTGACCATACGTCCTCTTTTCCCCGGACATGTCCTCTTTTTGGACCTACAAAAATGCGTCCGGCTGGGATTTCTTAATTGCCCAAAATGTCCGGGATTCGGCTGTTCTCTTAATCCCACTCCCGCTGCACCTATGACCGTTGCTGCTTGCTCCCGCAACATGCGTTTTGCTCCCGCAATTTTCATGTCCAATCCTTTAAACATTCTAATATTGTGTATAATTTTGGCACATCAGGGAGCTGCTCTCAGGATGCGGTGTATTTAAATATTTTTGAATGAGCATTTGCGCTGTTTACTTTCACTTTCGATTTCGCGATCACACGCACTCTGTGTAAAGGGAGCACATCTTACAAAATACTCAAGCATGGTCTAGTCAGATATCTCTCCTTATTCTCGACCTGTGATCAGTCAAATCTGACTCCTGCAGCTCTTGTTGGATGCAGGGTTGCCAAGTTCACGTTATTTCCACAGAATTGGGCTACTTTTAAACTGTTGCCATGGGTTGATTTTCCCAAGTGGGTTAAAGGTTTGAAATATTGCATGAATTACATTTGACTGAAATGCTTGTATTGAAACATTTTGCATTTTACCTAGGATAAAACTTTCATGGTCTTCTACATTAACTGTTCCCTCCTGGTGGAATGACCTGCCAAACTCAATCCTTAATATTTTCAAGAAACAGCTGAAAACACATCTCTTTCATCTTCATTTGACCCTCTAACTCTAGCACTCTCTATTACAGTGGTTCTCAACCCGCGGGCCGCATGTGGCCCGTCACGAATTCAAATGCGGCCCACCATGCTGAACACAATTTTTAAAAAATACTTTCAGTTTTACAATTCATTTAATTTTTTACATTAATTTAAAAATGTACTAAATAAATATAAGCTATAGCCTAATGTTTTTATGTAAAATAATTTTGTTTTTCATATATTATTTTCAGACATGAGCAGTACTCACATAGCCTAATTATCGTTACGCATTCAAAGTAACGACCAAGTGGCCAGCGGCAGACAGTGAGCATATGTTTGATCAATAAAGGGTTTACTTTTATTTGTGTGCACTCACAATATCAACAAAACGTTGTGCTTTTATAAAATAAAGAAAACAAACATTATGCGCTTTCTGCCGTCTCGTCTTGAACAGGCGCGCTTCACAAAAATGAACCAAAACGCAGCGAATACATGCCTCACAGACATGATAAATATATGTATAGAAAGCTTTAAATTACTACTTAACGAAATAAAAAATCAAAAACAAAAACTCTTTCATCATAATCATAATTTGATAAAAAAGATGCACTTCTCTCTAAAGGTGCGTCTAATGAGGAACGAGATGGCGAGTCAGGATCGGCAACTTCATCCTTGCGACACAGACTCAGAAAACACAATTTATTAGTAAATAATTCAAATATCTCTGTCCTCTTTCCTCCTGACACATTTACGGTAATTACTTTTGCCGATGCTTTGCGGCAAGCTTAAGCATATTGCGTGCATTTGAACGCAGAACTCTTCAGCTGCGCTGACGGCACGCACCATACATACTGCTGCTGCTGGACACTAAACACCGTCGAGCCGCTCTTGACAGTCTCGGTAGCACGGTCTCGTGTTGTTTCCACCAGCGCGGCAATCTTTTTTCATCACTAATTGATGGATGTCTAAAATATAAAAATAAGGAGAAGCCTAAAACAGGCCCTAGGCCCTGCCCGCGTCTGAACTATGATGTGAAAATTGTCCCGAAGCCCAGCCTGAGGGGCGTAAAAAAGTCGGGGCCAGTTGGGCCTGTCTGATCTAGCAATGTATCAGAAGAAATGAAAGAAAGATAGTCATCTGCGCAATTCGGAAAAAGAGGCGGCTTTTCTGCATTAGGTATGTTTTTTTTTCACTCTTTGTACAGCAGTTATTGTTCATTCTAAAAAAAAATTTTAATGTAGTATATGTGTTACATAAATACATGAAATGTAGAACATATAAAAAAGTGCTCGTGGCTCGTCTGCCAGTGGGTGCCCCCCCACGCATAAAAGTGAAACTCCGCCTATGATTGTG